CCCCCCCCCTCCCCCGGAAGAGCCACAATGATGTCCTCATCATTCGCCCCGAGCCTCACCCGCCGCGACACCAAATCCAGCATCCATGACAGCAGCAGCGGCATTGGGCTCGGGCACAACGGCAGCACGGCGGGGACGCTGCCGCCGCCCCTGACGAGCACGAACGGGTCGTACGGCCCGCAGAGCGCGGCGGCGGTCTACCAGCACGTCCACGACATGGCGGCGAAGCGCATCTCGACGCTAGGGTACCTGCGGAAGGCGCACGAGGGGCGGATCTACTGGTTCAACACGGTGCACTTCTCGCGGGCGGACATCAGCCGGCTGGCGTACTTCGAGGCGCGCAAGCTGTCGCGGCGGGCGATCAACTTCCTGCTGCTGGGGCTGTCGCTGCCCCCGATCCTGGACGTCAGCACGACGCCCGTCGAGTTCCTGCGCGCCCTCAACGCCCTCCTCCTCGAGTTCGAGGCCTTCCAGCAGGTGCACCCGCCCGACGGTCCGCCCTCCTCCACCGCCTCCGCCCTCGCCCGCGCCCGCATCCCCCAGATGTTCAAGCGCGCCGCCCACGCCTCCGGCGCCTACTCCTCCAAGGCCCGCCGCGCCAGCTCCGCCACTGAGATCGGCCTCCCCATGCAGTCCTCCGACCCCTCCGACCTGAAAGCCATGGCCGCCGCCGGCGCCTCCTCCGGCGCCTCCGCTTCCGCTCACCACCACCACGCTGCTGCCGCGGCTGCCTCCTCCGCCTCCTCCGCCTCCATGGGCTTCCCGCACACCGAGGCCTCCGAACTCCTCCCCGGCGAGGAGTACACCTACCTGCTGACCCCCTTGCTCCCCTTCGAGCCGGACTACTTTGAGACCTTCGTCACGCTGTGCGACGTCCTGATCGATTGCTATACCCGCCTGGTCTCGTTGGTGTACACCCCCAGTATCTGCACCGTGGCCTTGGGCGAGATGTTCTCCAAGGCCGATGCGAAGATCCGCAAGATCATGGTCGCAGGCATCGTGCGCGAGTTCGAGGACTCGAGCCGCACGCAGGCCAAGACCGAGATCGCCGGCGTGAGTCGCGTGGTCTTGGGCGGGCTGATGGGATAGCTAGCTAGTACCCTTGGGCCTTTCCC